GATTGGAAGTAAAACCGTAATTTTCGCCCCCACCCCATTTTCTTTAAAACTGCTTCGCTGTTTACACTATTTACTTGTAAATTAAATCTGCCACTGCAGCTCACGACCCGCTTCTTTCACTGTCACGGGAAGATGACCATCACATTTGAATACGCTCCGACCAACGTTGCTGACGACGGGGAGAAGTATGCCTTACAAAAACTCCACTTCACACCAACTCCACTTCGTCCCCAACAGGATGTTTCCATTCACCTCACCGACGCCGACGCCACTTTCGGACCCGACTCCTGCAACTTCTCGTCCGCCATCGGAACTCCCACCTAGAACAACGGGCTACGACTCCTACAACTCTTCGCTGACACAAGCCTGTACGTTTCAGACTCGTGGTTCCCGAGGAAACGAATCCATCACTAGACTTGTTACAGTAACGACGGGGAGACTCTGTGGGTCTTGGACTACATCCTGATCAACTGTAGCTGGTGATACAGCATCACCAAATACCGCTCGGGGATACCGACCACCGCCTACTCATCGCCAGCCTAAGAATGCGCAATGAAGACCAAAGCAACCAACAAATATGAGCCGAGAGTTGACTCGTCCTGCTTTCACAACCCAACTACCCGGACTCAGTATAGATGCTCGATTGCCAACGCGTACAATGCTCTGGCTGCCGACGACACCGGCGACTTGTCGACCTTCATATCATCTGTCACCGGGAATAAATCTGAATTTTTAAAATACCTATGATATTTTCAGATAAAGATTGAAATCACTTTGAATCTTCAATTAATATTTTACTGATCCTGTACGAATTATAATATGGCACAGATATCATGCATATTAGAAAAAGTACCAGTTTTACGTGAGATGGTCATCATCAGCAACAGCAATTGTCGGGGGTACCTGGGAGCAGAAGAAACAGACAACTCCTCCAGAATATCTCTCAGGAGTCCGCTCTTTGATTTTGCCTGGTCACCTTCTGCGTTGTCGCCCCAGCTTTGGTCCGCCTTCGACAGTGACTTGCAAGATAGTTATGCAGAGGCCGTTATACTATATGACGTGGCCAAATCATGACATCATCCGACGCTTAGTAGTGGCGAGGAGAGATTCCTGTAAGCCCATGAAACTTTTTACTTTTCTCCGTACACAGATATTGGATATTGGGCACACCCAGTACGAGATACGAAGGAGCTTTCTCAATTATTTGTTCTCGAATATCTGAATCGTTTTTCCTTGTCTCAATCAAGAGTGTCCAAGTCTCATACCCATAGAGGAGGGGTACCCCATACTGGGTACCCCATACTTTCGGCCTTGTGCCACATCTGAGCTACGCTTGGAAAATCCCTACCCATAGAGGAGGATGATACGACCAGCCATTTGTAGGGACTGAACTTGGTCTGGAAGCTGATGTTTCTGTTCGAAGAAAATTCAATTAAATCTGATAAAATCAATGACCAAAGAATCTATCCTTCGTCTCGGATATAGTAGCTGAGAATCAATTTTATTGCAAACATCAGGTTGGGAAAATGGCCGATTTCTTGTACCACTTCAGTAAATATCTGACCCTCTCCTGTCAGGCTTCATCTTTACAAGAGTCAGATCAAACTAAAAATGGTATATTGCCGTCATATCTAGCCTAGAGCTACCCAATACAAAATGGCAGAACTTAAAAACGTCTACGAGGCAGAGCTTCTTTCCCAGAGAGAAAATATCTCAAGCCTCTCGTTGCTCTATCACTATTTACATGGTAAATGTACTGACAAGTAAACTTCATCAGTTCATTCAGTTCAGACCTTTACAGTCAAAACCCGCCATGCAACGGATACCAGGGTCGACTAATCTTCGTTCTCTTTACATTCTATTGGTTGGTAAGAAGGTAGTTACATTCGAACAGCGCCTCCTCAAGAATCGCTACTTTGTGGAACAGGCAAGCGAGAGACTATATACCTGATCACTTATTTTATAATTTCACCCCAAGAAGGCAATAAAGCCACTAAGATGTAATTTGACTTGAAAACAAGACATCGGAAGAAAGTTCTACAAGCGAAAAGTATGAGGGGAGAAACTGTCAGCATAGAACTTACAGTTATATCTAGCTATTTCAACAGTAAAACGATGAGACCTATTCGCCAATCTAGTAGTATACTTCAAATTTTGCGGTCGATGTACCAAGAAGGAAAGTTCATTGGGAGAATTGCTATAAAAATATTTATAGAAAACACAAAAGGAAACCACGTGAAGGCGGTGGGAAAATGTCTGAAGTCGAGATGCCAGGTCAGGACCGATCACATTGCAGAACCTTCTTTAGTCTTTCGTTCATAAACTAAAATTAAAGTAAAAAATACCAGTTAAAAATTATTAATTACTTACAATACTTCATTTAACAGTTTGTTTATGGTTTTATTTTTTAAAATATCAATGAGTTATTTAATACCGACAAGAGTTTTAGAACAGGTTCGTATGAATCGAATATGTATTTGTAAGAAATCAGTTTGTAGATCAGGTTTCATTGGCGTATTTTTGTAAAGAGGGGTTTTGTCGGGAGTCAAATGTACTGCTGCTAATATTTTTTTTCAAAAATTTATTGCTGGTATTTTTACTTTAAAATCTATATTTATATTTTCAGAGTTTTTTAACCCGTTACATCTAGCAGCCATTTCATTTTTGAAGATTTTTTAAGTATTTTTGAAGATCCAAGTGACCATGCTATTGTTTAGATGAGAGAAAATTCTGTGTA